GAGGAGTTGCTTCCAATGGATGAGCCAAGAGAGGGGTTCCCTGAGATGGAATCTACTCCTGGTGAAGAAGCTGTGAAGACTGTTGAAAGGACAACACAGATTTAGAATATGACATCAACTCAGTTGATAAAGCAGCAGCCGGGTTTGAGAGGGTTGACTCCAATTTTGAAAGCAGCTCTACGGTGGGTAAAATGCAATCGAACAGCATTGCACGCTGCAGAGAAATCATTCGTGAAAGGAAGAGTCAATCGATGTGGCAAACTTCATTGTTGTCTTAAGAAATTGTCACAGCCACCCCAGCCTTCGGCAGCCACCACCCTGACCAGTCAGCTGCCATCAACATTGAGGGAAGACCATCCACCAGCAAAAAGATTACGACTCACTGAAGGTCAGAAGACGGCTAGCATTTTTTTAGCAATAAAGCATTTTTTAATTATGGTATGTATGTACACTATTTTTTTGGACGTAATACTATTCCACACTTAACAGACCACAGTATAGTATAAACATAACTTTTATATGCATGGAAACCAAAAAATTTGTGTGACTCATTTTATTGTGATATTCACTTTATTGTGGTCTGGAACCGAACCCGTAATCTCTCTGAGGTGTGCCTGTCCTCCACAAGCCAATAGTATACAGGATGATAAACCAATAAAGAAATGACATACTCCAAACCAATGATGGGTCAATCACACTATTGTTCCAGGCGAAAGGGAGATGGCAGAAATAAAGTCTAAATTTAGGTGGGGTGTACCTTTCTACAAGTTGGTTCTCAGAAGAGTCGGCTCAGCCAACCAAGAGCTGCGTCCGCGTGAAGCAAGAGTCCGTTTTGCAAGAGAACGTTGCTAGGCAATGAAGGCGCTGGTGTTGGTGGGCAAGACTGTCTCCTTCATGGGCAGCTGCATGCTTTTCACCACTGTGGCAAAGAGTCACCTTGCCCAGGCAGGAGCTAATGTCCCAAGGTCTTCAGAGAGCCATTTAGATCAGCAGAGGGGAGCCTTGCCCACTGAACACTCTCGGTGAGTGCTCACAAACTCTTGGTATTTAAAGTCTAATTGTCCCCTAGCCATAGCTGCTGCTCCCCCGTTCTTACCTACCAGCCCCCAGCGGTGCCCTTCAGCAGCCAGCTACTGAGTGCTTACGGACAAGAACAGGCATTGATGACCACATCCTGCTTGGATCCAAACAACTTCGCTCTTGTCATGAACAAGTGGGTTTGAAATCATATCAAACCAATACGCAACAACTCTGACTAAAGCTATTACCTGTTTTCCCACTTTCACACCAGCTCTGCATTAAAGACGGAAGACAGTGAACAGGCGGCCCTCAATATCCTTGTTCTTTGCCCAAAGCACCCAAAATTGAGGCAGGCATTTTTTTTAAAACTTACTATTTTTGTTAAAGTCATATACTACTTGGTTTAAAGAATTAAATAGGACTACAAGGCTTATAATGAAAAGCAACCAGCCTGCTGCTCCCCAGAGTTAACGCCCTTCACCTGTTCAGCTGACACCCCCTAATCTGTACTCTCATGTTTCTAAACAATAGCCTACTATTTCTTGATCTGTCCCTCGTAGGCATTGTTTACTCTTTCTGATGGAAGATAAGGGTGTACAATTTTTCATCCACCACCTCCCTCCTCCATTAGAGTTTTTCAGAGTTTTGGGTTAAATCATATTCAATGTAGAGGCCAGCCCAGTGGCATAGTGGTTTAGTTCGCACACTCTACTTTGGCAGCCTGAGGTTCACAGGTTTGGATCCCGGGTGCAGACCTATGCACGGCTCATCAAGCTGTGCTGTGGTGGCATCCTGCATACAAAATAGAGGAAGATTGGCACAGATGTTAGCCCAGGGCCAATCTTCCTCACCAAAAAAAAAAAAAAGAAATCATATTCAATGTATACCTCATCATGTCTATGTAAATATTGTTTACTGCTGAGCCAAGTGATGTACAATGATTAGATTTCCAATATTTTACTTTTTATTTTTCATGGAGTCATTTTTACTTATTTGCTGGGGTTTTTTCTTTTTATTTTTTTAAATTTTTTTTTGAGGAAGATTAGTCCTGAGCTAACATCTGCTGCCAATCCTCCTCTTTTCACTGAGGAAGACTGGCTGTGAGCTAACATCCGTGCCCATCTTCCTCTGGTTTATATGTGGGACGCCTACCACAGCATGGCCTGCCAAGCACTGCCATGTGTGCACCCGGGATCCGAACCGGCGAACCCCAGGCCATCCGAGCGGAACGTGCGAACTTAACTGCTCTGCCACCAAGCCGGCTCCTTTTCTTATTTGTTTATATTGCTGTCATTAGTTCTCCCAAATTCTCCAACAGAACTGGAAAATCTCCGAATGCTATTTTCCAAATCATCTGTTAGTTCCTAGTTGTTCGGTTATTTCCCGCTGTATTAGTGTCCCAGGGCCGCCATAAGAAATTGCCACAAACTTGGGGGCTTAACGCGACAGAAATTTATTCTCTTACGGTTCTGGAGGCCAGGAGTTGAAAATCAAGATTTTGGCAGCGTTGGTTCCTTCTGGGGGCTCTGAGAAACAACCTGTTCCGTGCCTCTCTTTTAGCTCCTGGTGGTTCCTGGCAACCCTTGGTGTCTTTGGCTTGTAGCTGCATCACTCCAATTTCTGCCTCCCTCTTTGCACGACTTTCTTCCCTCTGTGTCTCCTCTCTTTCTCTCTCTCTGTGTCTCTCATGGCTTTCTTATAAGGATGCCAGTCTGGGCCAGCCTAGGTGGCCTAGTGGTTAAGTTTGGCACTCTTCAGTGACCTGTGTTTGGTTCCTGGTCACAGATCTGCACCACTCGTCTATCAGTGGCCATGCTGTAGCAGCAGCTCACATACAAAAAGAGGAAGACTGGCAATGGATGTTAGCTCAGAGCAAATTTTCCTCTGCACGAAAAAAAAAAAGGATGTCCATCATATTGGATTACGGTCCCAATATGACAGGCATCCTCACAAGTATGACCTCATCTTAACTAATTATATCTGCAAAGATCCTATTTCCAATAAGGTCACATTCTAAGGTTCTGGGTTGATATAAATTTTGGGGGGATAGTATTCAACCTAATATAGCCACTAATGTTCTTTCTGGAATCTTCTGCACTCCTCTATGTGGGCTGGTTGTTCTCCAGACTTGCTCAACTCCCGTAACCCTCATACTGAGAATTTCCTTCGTTTTCCTCCACATAAAGCTGTTGCTTTATTTCTTGTCTCTCTTTCTTTGGTTTACTCTCTAGTTGTGCTAGGGCACACCCTCCAGTATCTGTTTAACAAAGAGTGCACAGAAGGTACCTTTTTTTGCATTGCATGTCTGAAAATATCTTTGTTCAACTTTCACACCTAACTTGTAGTTTGGCTGGGCATGGAAATTAGGTTGAAAAAAATAATTTTCCCCCAGAACTTTGAAGGCCTTCTGTTTTGGTATCTGGTGTTATGGGATGTGCCATGTCATTCTGTTTCCCCCGCCTTTTTACTCGTCTCTCTATATAAGCTGCAGGATCTCTCTGTGCCTGTGTTTTGAAACGTCACAGGAATGTGCCCCCATGCAAGTCTGTTTTCATCCTTTTTACCGGCATCTGGTGGCCCTTTCATCTGGAAACTCACATCCTTCATTTCCCGGACGTGTTCTTACATTATCTATCTGATCATTTCTTTCCTTCTGGCTTTTATCTTCTCTTTCTGAAACTTTTAATCAGATGGTGCATGTCCTGGAATTGACCTCTAATTTTCTCATTATTTTCCTGCTATTTTTCATTCCACTCTTTGTGTTCTGCTGTCTGGCCTTTCTCTCTTCCTGGTCTTTATCTTCCAGCCCATCTATGGAATTTTTTTATCTGATTATCGTATATTCAATTTCTCAGCCCTCTTCCTTGTTGTCTGAATGCTCCTATTTCCAGCATCCTGTTTGTGTCTGGCAGATATAATCTCTTCTCTTATCTCTCTCATAATACTCCTTAGAGTTGTTTTGTTCAAGTTCCCGCTGCAGCCTGGATGGTCTGTTTCCTCTGAGTTCCTTTTCTCAGATTGTTTTGGTCTTTGTTTTTTATGTAATCAGCTTTCCTCAGATGTGGACCTTGACTGCTCATATTTAAGAATGAGTCACTTCAGAGCCGAGGGGAGGCCCTGTGTGTGGGGGTGGGGCGTGCCTCTCAAGGGAGACGGGCTGGAAGTGGCCTCTGTGTGGGGGAGTCCCCAGCGTCCCTATCTGTGGGCCCTTTGTCTGGCGCTGTTTGGTTCCTCCGAGAAGAATCCTTTAATTTGCAGCCTGGGGTGTGGGGTGGAGGGCTGGAGCAAGAGGAGAGAGCTGGCTGCTCCAGATCTGAAAAGCCAGCAGCCTGGGGGCGCGGCTCTCATGACTCAGCCTACAGACAAGCATGTCTATTAGAAATAGGATCTGAGCCACCTATGTAACTTCAAATGTTCTAGCAGCCACAGTAAACCCAGAAAAAAGAAACAGGTGAAATTAATTTCAATACAATTTTTTCTTAAGTCCAATATAATCAAAATATTGTCTCAACATATAATTAATATAGAATTGTTTAATAACATATTTTACCTTCTTTTATTCATACTAAATCTTCAAAATCTGGTATCTCTTTTGCACTTACAGCACATCTCCATTGGGACCAGCCACATACCAAGTACTCAATAGCCACAGGTGGCCAGTGGCTACTGTCCTGGATGGCACAAGTGTAGACCATCACTTCGTCCCCTCTCTTCTCTGCAAAGGTCCTCTGGAGTCTGGCCAAGGCTCCGGGGAGACCCCTAACCCCTAGGGGCCTTCAGGATCCGACTGATCCTGCCTCAGTTCCCAGGACATCCCTGGCACCCTTGAGACACGAGGCTACACATTTACACGAGATTCACAAGGGTGTTTCCATGGTACCGGCTCACTCCCTGGGCTGGGCTAACTGTCCTGTTCCTCATATGGAGGAGGAAAGTTGAGTCCTCTCTCCTCTGCCCCTCCCTTTGTTTTTAATCCTCAGGTTCCCCAGCCGTTTTTGTTGCTTCGTGGGCTGTCACCAGGCACTTTCTGGAAGATGTTGGGTAAGCTGTTTGAAGGAGAGGTAATGCGTATAGTATATTTTATATTATCCACTTCCTCAAACAGGATGGACATTTCTTTGGTGCTATCTAGGAGAGGCCTGTTTCTCAGACGGGGGGCCCCAGGCAAGTTCTCTGGAGCGCCAGGCTGCTGAATGCCTAGCTCGCCCCAGGTGTGAGTTTGCAGAAGGGCTGAGGCCTGCGCCCTCCGGGGCCTCCCTCCCCCCGCCCCCCACCTGCCCTGTCAGTTCTGTGGGTAGGTCAGGTGCCAGACGAGCCTGCCAGGCTCCAGGCAGGTGCTGCTCAGTGAGGAAGCTCCAAGGGCCAAGCCAGCTTCTCCTTCCTCCTGAGATCTCCCTCCTCCACTGTCCCCACCCCTGGGTGTCTAAGGGGCCCGCACAGCTGGGCGCAGGGGAGCAGTAGCCACGCTCTCAACATCTCCTGATGGGACAGAGAGGTCTAGTCATGTTCTCTAAAGATGCGCTGAGGACGGACGGAGGTAAGCCCAGGGGGCCCTCCTGGGAGCAGGCACAGGGAGAGACAGCTTGAAAGAAGCCAGGGCCTAGGGAGGCAGCACGGCAGGCTGAGCAGGAGGCAGCTTCTCATCCGCGTGATGACACGCCCAGCCCGGGAAGTGGACTAGGTCGGGTGAGGCTTACAAGTGTCTTGCAGTCCAAGTTCAACACAAAATCATTGTTTCAAAATAATTTTTTAATCGGGTGAATTCACTGTTTTTCTTAAAATCTGGATTTTCAGCTTCTCTAGAAAATATGGAAAGTTCTACCAACATTTCCCATTTTCCTTTGTGGCAAAAATCAGCTGGAGCAGAGTTGCAGCTGCCTTAGACCAGGCACAGGCTCTCTGGTTTGCCAAGTACCCCCCACGCCTGGCATCCTCAGGGTCCTGAGGTCCCATGTCAGTCACCCAGCCACATCACTCACTGATGTCGCCTGCCTGGCTGCTGTCGGCTGTTGAGTTTGCTGCTGGGTTAGCTCTGGGATCTGGGGTCTTCTGGCTCTCAGGTTCCACACGTGGCTGTTCCCCAAGACACTCCCTGGGCACACGTGGAGACAGGGGCTGCTCCCTCAGCCCCAGCAGTGCCCCTGGGCAGCAGGAAGGGGTCCGTTCCAATGGTGCTGAGCACACAGCACAAGGTTCAGGACCACAAGAGTGTGTCCTTCATATGAAGGGCAACTCGTGGTCAGCCCAGCTGCCCACTGCTAACGATGTCTGGCTGTCCTTCCATAGGTGCTGGGACATCAACGCCAATGCGTCCATCTGGTGGGTCATTCGAGGGCCTGTGATCCTCTCCATCCTGGTGAGCTGGGCTCCAGTGGGAGAGACCGAAACAGTGACTGGCCTGTGGGGACAGAGGCCCAGGAGACAGGGCAAGCGTTCCTCCCTCCAGGTGTGGGCAGGGATAAACCACAGAGCTTCCTGAGGTTGGCGGCGCAGGCATGAGGGGCCTGAAGCTCCACCCCCTGAAGGACAAAGGATGGGAGTGGGCTAGGAGCAGGCCTGAGGCAAGAGCTTACATAACTCCCTCTTGTCCATGAGTGGCAGCTGAAATGTGGTGAGCCCCGCCCCTGGCCCTGACCTGGCTGGCTCTGTGTTGGCCTGAAATTCTGCCTTCATTGGTTTAGATCTTTGGGTTTTGATCATTTTTCTAGGCTTCCTCTTGTTAAACTGCGAAGGATCATTGAGCTGGGATCACAGGAGGAGGTCGTGGGGGCGGTGGGGTGGTGCAGCTGGGGAAAGTTGAGCGAGGCTGTGATCTTGGGCCTTTGTGGTGATGCGAGGGGGGCAGGCCTGGAGGGCTGGTCCCTGGACCCTAGGGAAGACATGCGGGAGTGACTCTCCTAGACAGGCTGCTCAGAGGATCTCAGCCCTGGCTGCCCTTTAGAATAGCTGAGGGCTTTCTAACAATACCCATAGCCAGAGATTCAGGCTCTCACAGTTCCGGGGAGGGGCCTGGGCACGCCTCTTAGAGAAAAATTCCCCCGTGCTTCTGCTCTGCACTCAGGCTTGGGAGCCCCGCGGCTGAGACTGTAGGTGTGGATAAGAATGAGGGGGACAGGGGCCAGCCTGTGGCCGAGTGGTTAAGTTCATCTGCCCCACTTCAGCAGCCTGGGGTTCACCTGTTTGAATCCTGGGTGCGGACCTACATATGGCTCATCAAGCCCTGCTGAGGCAGCGTCCCACATAAAGGAACTGGAATGACCTACAACTACGATATGCAACTATGTACTGGAGCTTTGGGGAGAAAAAAAAAAAAAGAGGAAGATTGGCAACAGGTGTTAGCTCAGGGGCACTCTTCCTCACCAAAAAAAAAGAGGGGGGACAGAGGAAGGAAGACACATCGGGGACACACTGGGGTCATCTCATGGGCAGAATCAGCCCTCAGCTGTGCACAGGGCTCAGAGGGACCCAGGACTGCAAGACCCGGTGGCTGAAAGTGCCCTTCCAGGGCTCGCTGGAGCAGAGACAGGCCGTGGGACAGGGCAGCAGCCCCCTCTTCCGCTGTCTGACTGGGTGACTTCTTGGGGCTGGTTGGGAGGCCATCCCATGTCCTTTTTGTTTCCCCAAAATAATAGAATTCATGTAAAAAATAATTGGAAAATACAAAATGAATTTTTTAAAAGGGAATAAAATCAGGGCCGGCCCAGGCCGAGTGATTAAGTTCGCGCTCTCTGCACTGGTGGCCCAGCGTTTTGCCGGTTGGGATCCTGGGCAGGGACATGGCACCGCTTGTCAGGGCCATGCTGAGGTGGCGTCCCAAGTAGCACAACCAGAGGGACCTACGACTAGAATATACAACTATGTAGTGGGGAGCTTTGGGGAGAAGAAGAAGAAAAAAGAAGATTGGCAACAGACGTTAGCTCAGGTGCCAATCTTTAAAAAAAAGTTAAAAAATAAAATAAAATAAAGTAAAAGGGAATAAAATCATCCATAGCTTTCACACCTGGATACACATTGTGAACATGTGTTTTTCCTTCCTGTTTTTGAGCTCACATGATTTTTTTTTTAAGATTGGCACCTGAGCTAACATCTGTTGCCAATCTATCTTCTTTCTTCTTCTTCTTCTTCTCCACAAAGCCCCCCAGTACATAGTTGTATATTCTAGCTGTAGGTCCCTCTGGTTGTGGCACGTGGAACGCCGCCTCAGCATGGTCTGATGAGCGAGTGGTGACATGTCCGCGCCCAGGATCCAAATCGGTGAAACCCTGGGCCGCCGAAGCGCAGCGCGCAGACTTAACCATTTGGCCAGGGGGCCAGCCCCTCACGTGCTTTTCTTTTTCAAAATGCTTAATATAGTTTTGTATCCTAGTTTGTTTTCACTTAGCAATAGATGTGAGCTTTCCCATGTCACTGGAAATCATTTGACCGACCGATTCGCTATGGCTGCACATACTCCCACAGGAGGACGGTTCCTCGTTCAGCTCGGCCAGATCTCTCGCTGTTGTTCTGGGACTCTGACCACTCAGCCTGGGAGAGCCCCGGCTGAGGGACGCCCAGCCCCAGCGTCCAGGCTGGTTTCACGGGCTGGGGTCTATCCAGTGATTGAGGGACATTCGGTGGGCACTCCTGATGCGAGACCTCTCCCCACCAGCCTGACACAGGGCTGAGAGTTCCAATATTTAAGACTCATTCTTGGTATCTTAAAGATTTTTCTTTTTGCCTTTGAGTGCTTCCTGCTAAATTAAATACAACTCTTTTTCTTTTTTTTTTTTTGAGGAAGATTAGCCCTGAGCTAACATCTGCTGCCAATCCTCCTCTTTTTGCTGAGGAAGACTAGCCCTGAGCTAACATCCATGCCCATCTTCCTCTACTTTATATGTGGGATGCCTACCACAGCATGGCTTGCCAAGCGGTGCCATGTCTGCACCCGGGATCCCAATCGGCGGAACCCGGGCCGCCGAAGTGGAACATGTGCACTTAACCCCTGTGCCACTGGGCCAGCCCCTAAAATACAACTTTTAAGACAAAAAATAAAATAAAATAAAATAGCGTTTATTATTTTACACCATGCACAGCCAGCTCAGAGCAAGCAGAACGGATAATGAGCTGAGAAGCAGTGTCCTAAAGAAGGAGCGCTGGGGAGCTGGCCCGGTGGTGCAGTGGTTAAGTGCGCATGTTCCGCTTCGGTGGCCCGGGTTCCGCTGATTGGGATCCTGGGTGCAGACATGGCACCGCTTGGCACGCCATGCTGTAGTAGGCGTCCCACATATAAACTAGAGGAAGATGGGCACTGATGTTAGCTCAGGGCCAGTCTTCCTCAGCAAAAAGAGGAGGATTGGCAGCAGATGTTAGCTCAGGGCTAGTCTTCCTCAAAGAAAAAGAAAAAAGGAGCAGCACTGGGCTAGGATTCCTAGACAGGCCACTAATCCTGTCTTTTGGCAAGTGTCCCCAGGCCCCAGGCTGCTGGGCAATTCCAGTGAGCCCTGCTTCTGTCAATGGTGCCGGGGCTGGTGGGTGAGAGGGGAGGAGAGATGCCACCATGTGGGCAACTTCATAATGTCCCAGCACTGAGGACTGGAGTTGGGAGAGGGAACACCAAAAAAAAATAGAGACTCATTCCTGTCCTTTAGAAAGCTATGATCGAATTGGCAGATAAATGGACATACACACAAGTTTGACAGATGCATACATTTGGCTTCTTTCAAGTATTTCAAGTACTATTACACAGTCACATCAGCCCTAACTACAATGAATCAGGAAAGGGAGGTAATCAAGGATGGCTTCCTGGAGCTGGTGATTGGGCTGCAAAGTGACTCTATAAGGCTCTGAAGCAGTGGTTCTCAAAATGTGATCCCCAGACCAGCAGCTTCAGCATCACCCGGGAGCTTGTTAAAAATGCAAATTCTGAGGCCCCACCCCAGATTTTCTGACCTGTAATTTCTGGGGTGGTGGAAGGGAGCTGGGCGATATGCACCCTAAACTTGGAGAAGCTCTGCTGTAAGGTGTGGCTACTCAGAATGTAGACCAAGGAGCAGCTTTGGCATTCCCTGAAGCTTGTTAGAAATGCAGACTCTCAGGCCCCCTGCAGCCCCGCATTTGGACAACAGCCCTAGGGGATTCCAGTGCATCCCAAGTGTTGATAATCTGCTGCAAATGAGCAAACCGTAGAGCTCCTGCAGCCCGGGGCTGGGAGTGGGTGCTGTGTCCACCATTGCCTCTGGGCAGTTTGTTTTCACCAGGCCTGTTGGGGGGTCTGTAGTGGGGAGCAGTGATGTGCCATCCTGGGTGTGGTCTGCACTGCCTTCTCCCTCAGGGCCAGGGCCAGGGCCAGGACAGGTGGCTGGGAAAGCAAATCACCTTTAGCCCCACCTCTGCCTTGTGTTTTACAGATTAATTTCATCCTTTTTATAAACATCCTAAGAATCCTGATGAGAAAACTTAGAACCCAAGAAACAAGAGGAAATGAAGTGAACCATTACAAGTAAGTGGAGACCTAAGACCTGGGCACCTTCAGTCAGTCAGCAAGCATTCACTGAGCACCTGCTGTTTACCCAACTCGTGCTAAGTTTTATCCCAAGGGGTTTACAATGCAAATTGGGGGAGAGGGGTGAATGGGTCTCACTGTGAAGCCTTTGACACTGTGCTGGGGAGGAGAGAGAAGAAATCTGCAGCAGGATCCCAGGAAGCAGAGACCCTACCTTCGGGCGAGCCTAGAGTCTGCAGACGGGCTTCAGCGACCCAGATTCAAACAAATTTGTATAGGTATGTGTATTTTTCAAGGGAAAAGGACTATAGCTTTCATCAGATTTTCAAGGAGATATGTGATCCAAAAATACCTTTAAGATGTGAAAGAGAGATGCTGTATTAGTTTCCTAGGGCCGCCCTAACAAAATACCACAGACCAATTGCTTAAACAACAGAAACTCATTTCTCACAGCTCTGGAGGCTGGAGGTCCAAGATCAAGGTGTCGGCAGGTTTCGTCTCTCCTGAGGCCTCTCTCCCTGGTTCGTGGGTGGTCGCCTTCTCACTGTGTCCCCACATGGCCTTTTCTCTGTGGGTGCCTCCTTGAGGTCTCCTCTTCTTATAGGGACACCAGTTGATTGAGCTAAGACTCCACCCTAAAGACGTCATTTTTGCTTCCTCACCTCTTTGTAGGCCCTCTCTGCAAATCCAGTCACATGCTGAGGTCCTGGGGGTTAGGGATTCAATTTGTGGATTTGGGGGGCGGGGCACAATTCAGCCCATTAATAGATGTTAAAGACATACCAGCCTCGGACAGAGGCTTTCTCTGCCACTTTGTGAGTATCGAGAATCTGGCAGTGGCCTGGCTTACTTGGTGACAGCTTCCCCAGGACAACTCTACAGCATGGGCTCCAAGGTAGGGTGGAGCTTGGGATCCAGGATAAAGTTGCCAGATAGAATACAGGAGGCCCAGTTCAATTTGAATTTTGGATAAACAACGAAGAGTTTGTTAGTACTTACACCAAAAAAAATGTATCCATTGTTCATCTGAAATTCAAATTGAACTGGGCATCCTGTATTTTTATGTGCTAAATTTTGTAGCCCTAATCTGGGAAGGAAATAAAAGAACTTCTCCCTCTAGATATTTATTATCAAACCAATAAGAATGCTGGCTTTGCTAATAATACGTTTGACAGAGTGGTGGTCACACATGCCACGTAATTCATGAGTAAGATTATTTGGGTGGATCCGGGTTCAAATTCTCTTTACTGCAGGGAGGGAGGCATGATGGGAAAGTTTTGGGATTGGCCATGGCTTGATAAGTGTTGCCTCTGGGTGATGGGCAAGTGGGAGTTGGAAATTTTCTGAAAAAACAAATAAAACCGAAAAAGTCTGGAGACACTGTGGCCAAGCCCCCTGCAGTCAGGGTCGAGGTGGGGTCCGTGGAGTCTGTGCCCGTGGGGAGGGGAGGCCCGGGAGAGTGCAGCGTCACTGTGTCCCCAGGCGGCTGGCCAAGTCCACACTCCTGCTGATCCCGCTCTTTGGAATCCACTATGTCGTCTTTGCCTTCTCCCCGGAGGACGCCATGGAGATTCAGCTGTTCTTTGAACTGGCCCTCGGCTCATTCCAGGTAAGCTTCAGGGACCGTGACTTTAAGGGGAAAAGAAGAGTTCTCTTCCCTTCGAGGAAAATGCAAGTCGTAGACACAGCAAGCTGGGTCATCCCGGAAGAGTCCAGCAGTGCGTTTTGGGGAGGCAGATGCCTCATTTGGCCGAGACTCAAGAGGAGCAGGGTGGGACGTCACTGTGCCGTGTGACTCTGAGTGAGACCCAAGTTCCCCACTGCTCCAGTGAGGGTGGGGGATAAACTAAGGAGAGAGGGACTGACTCTGGGGAAAACGAAAGGGAAAAGGCACCGGAGCACACGCTATTGCTCAACTCTCCACCGCACATAAAGAGTCAGAATCACGTAAGCCTGAGAGCCATCGCTGAGCCATCAAAAAGTGGCGCCAGAAGAGGAGCATTGTGGGAGGGTGGGGGTGGGGCGGGAGGGTGTTTGAAAGAATAATATCCTCATCTTCATACTGGGAAGTCCATAGAAAATGCCCCAAACTGAAAGATCAGAAATAGCAATATCAGCATATTATTTAGAATCAGTTAAGAAAGTTCCAAATAGTTGCTTCTGAGGAACAGGAAATGGGGGCGGGGGTGTCAGGAGGCTGCTGTTTTTTGTGACAAGAATCATTTGACTCTTTGAAACCATGTGCATACACAACTTACCAAAAATAAAAAACAACTTAAAAAAAGAAAGAAGAAAAGCAAGGGGAGAGATCACCTACCTACTAATGCAACGAGATGTTGTAAGGTTAATAAAAAGTAGTAAACATGTTTGTATGGAAGGACCCTTAACATGAATCCCAAACTTCACAACATTATTTGTGTATTTACTCACAGCTATCACCTTCTAAAAATAATATGATGTACCTTTCAGGAAAAACATACGGGGGACAAAAAAAAGTAGATGAGGAATCAGTGAAAAAAGAAAAAACCTAAATTGAGTTGTTCATAAACAGAAACAAATTTGATAAAAGTCCTATGAAGGGGGGCTGGCCCCGTGGCCGAGTGGTTAAGTTCGCGCGCTCCGCTGCAGGCAGCCCAGTGTTTCGTTGGTTCGAATCCTGGGCGCGGACATGGCACTGCTCATCAGACCACGCTGAGGCGGCGTCCCACATGCCACAACTGGAAGAACCCACAACGAAGAATATACAACTATGTACCGGGGGGCTTTGGGGAGAAAAAGGAAATAATAAAATCTTTAAAAAAAAAAAAAAAAGTCCTATTAAGGGCTGGCCCGGTGGCGCAGTGATTCAGTGCGCACATTCGGCTTCTCAGCGGCCCGGGGTTCGCCAGTTGGGATCCCGGGTGCGGACATGGCACCACTTGGCATGCCATGCTGTGGTAGGCGTCCCACATATAAAGTAGAGGAAGATGGGCAAAGATGTTAGCTCAGGGCCAGTCTTCCTCAGCAATAAGAGGAGGATTGGCAGTAGTTAGCTCAGGGCTAATCTTCCTCGGGGGAAAAAAGAAAAGAAAAGAAAAAAAAAGTCCTATGAAAGTGGAAGAGGCAAGTCATAAATTTGGTTTGGAGCTTCCCGGTAGCCAAAGCAAAGATAGAAACACAATCTGTTTCAAGATTTACAGTATCCATAGATGAAAACAAACTAGTTTCCTGGAAAAGCCTAGCAATTATAGACTTTGGAGCCTGAGAGAAATTTCTCCCAGTGGGTTTTCCTGAAGAAGCCGCCTGTCCCCAACAACCTCGATCATCCTGCAGGGTCCTCCTCACTAGTGAGACCTCGGCCTCCAGGAGGGGGCTCAGAGCCTCTCTCATTCTCAGAGTTCTGCTCAGGGTGGGCGTGGCTGGGGGGGGGGTCCTCCTGTCACTCACAGGTTCTAGGAGAACATGTCACCGGGAACACATTAAGCAGAGTCAGGTCTTGCCCTAACCCGTGTCTTCAGACCCCACCCCAGGGCTGTCTCCTCTGCCTCCGCTGAGCCTCTCTTCTGCCCAGACTCCCCCCAGAGAACCCAGCCTCTTGTGTAAGCCCTGGTTCTTTTCCTCTGGGCCAAGGTTTCATGCCACTGCTCTTGTAACGTGTGGGGAGGCCCGGCTCACAGTGGCCCATTTAGCAGGTGACAGATTCCAGGTCCACGCAGCTCACAGAAGTGGGTGGCCACCTCACTGTGTGGATGGCAACTTCCTGTCCCCTGGAGTTGGGGCTTATGTGCCAGGCTGTGGTCTAGCCAAGCGATGGCCATTTAGCTTCTCTGGAGAAACGACTTGTCAAGCAAAAACCAAAAGCACTTTCGTTATGTTCCCCTAGAAATGATTATGAAGGAAAAGGCTCTTTGACAGGTTTTTTTTCCCAAAGAATCTTTGTTCACATACAAACATATGTATCATTTTATTATATATTATACATATTTATGCTATATACTTATATATAATATATATTTTAAAAATTTTGTGTTGTGGAAAATTTCTTCCACATACAAAAAACGCAGAGAATAGCATAACAAACCCCCATGTGGCCACTGCCCACTCCTGGTCTGTCCTGTTTCATCTCTATCCCCATCCACTTCCTCCACCCCATCCCCCATCATTTTAAGCAAATCCAAGACATTTTATTTCAAATGTAAATATTTTAGTATGTATTTCTGACAGAAGGCTTAAAGAACATACAGAGAATGACAATACTATTATCACTGTCATATATTTTTAAAAACTAAAGTTTATTAACTCTGCTTGTAGAAATAATACTTGCTTATTGTAGAAAATTTGGAAAATAAGGAAGAGTTAAAAGAAAAAGAAAAATTCATCCATTATCTCATAACCCAGAAATAACCTCTGTTAAAACATTGGTGTGTTTACTTCTAATTCTCTTTTCCATCCAGGAAGACACACCTATAGTTGTCCACAGATGGACACATAATTGAGATTGTGTTGTGTGTGGTTTTCTATCCTGCACGGTTTGTTTAATTCTCTATCATGCCCAATGTGAACATTTCTCCATGTCATTAAAATTCTTCAAAGGCTTCATTTTTTTTCTTTTTTGAGGAAGATTAGCCCTGGGCTAACATCTGCTGCCAATCCTCCTCTTTTTGCTGAGGAAGACTGGCCCTGAGCTAACATCTATGCCCATCTTCCTCTACTTTACATGTGGGACGCCTGCCTTAGCGTGGCTTGCCAAGCAGTGCATAGGTCCACAGCACTCCTATCCTCACCTGAACAGTGAAAATGTGTCCCTGGATCCTTGAGGCCCAGACAGGAGAGGCCTAGGCGACCCTGGGCCCAAGGAGCTGGGCAGCAGCCTCGGCCAGCAGCCTGACCGCCAGCTCTCAGCCAAACACACACAGCTTCAGGCCCACCCAAACCCCTGTGACTCTGTTCCCTCCCCTGTACCGGGGGAGGTGGGGGGGGGATCCTCCCACCTCTCCCAGAGCTTTGGCAAGGATTAAGTGAAGCATCTGGAACTCAGAATCCCACAATTACGCAGGCCAAGCTGTGCTCCAAATCCAGCTCTGTTTCATTTCAAAGTCTTCCACATGTGGGGATCTTTCAAAGCTGCTGATGCTCCCACCCTGACATTCAGATTTGGGGTACAAAGTGCAACCTGGGCAGAAGCTCCCAGGTGATTCTAATGTGCAGCAAATTTGGAAATCGCTGCCTTAAGTATTCTGCTCCGCCCACCCCCCCATAGCCCCCATTCTAGACAGCAGTCATTGATGCTGGAAATTCTAAAGCAAATCCTTCCAGTTTTGTCACTAACTCCTGTTAAAATGCCAATACCCCTGAGCAGTCGTACGTTTGAAGCACCATAGACAAGCTGATCCTTCACTCTTTCCAATGTAGTAAGTGGCTAAGGGCGGGCCTGGATGGGACTACGGAGGGGTTGGGCCACCCAACCTCCGAGCTGTGGCACCCAGGCCTCTGAGGGGGAGGGTGCTCCAGGAAAGCCTGAGGGCAGAGAGGAAGGGCAGGCTGCCCGAGGTGGGTCCCTGAGTGGGTGAGCAGGGCACATACACTGCAGACCCTGTTCACAGCTCCTGGTTCCATGCAGGCCGCTTACACTCAGATGCCACATACCAGACTGGAGTTCCTACCCTGGCAGAGCTCCATGCCGGGACCCGGGAGGAGGGGGGGCCACCATCAGGAACACAGAAGCTCCAGATACCAGGGAGGGAGAGTCCTGATAGGCAGACCCCCACCATACCAGGGAACATGAAGTGTAGGCAGCCCTGAGGCCCCTGACTGAGGAGATGCGCTCATGGGTCCATTAAGCTGGGAGGTCACACTGCACCGCTGGCTGGCCAGGACCTGCGCACAGGGTTTCTTCTGACTACATATTTGTTTTTCAATTTGAATAGTTGTCCATGTTTAACCATCTCCAGATTTCTAGGTTATCTTGAAAAATGAGCCCACACAGGATCCAGGATTTCACATGAGCTGGGTCCCAACCCCTCCCAGTGGGGTGGGGTGGGCGTGCTTCAGGTGCCGCCACTCCCTGCTTCTCCTGAGTGGCCCACATTACTAATTTAGGTGATTGCCTCGTCCCCGTGGGACCACGTGAGCAGCGCCTACTTCAATGTTCCTGACACCACACATGTGCCAGGGAGGCCCACGCTAGACACTGGGGACAACAGACGAAAGGGACTCCATCCTTGCCCCAGAGGAGCTGCCTGTGCTGGATGATGCCAACACAGCCAGGGACACTTGAGGGGCCCAGAAGAGGCAGACCCAGTCGCTCCTGGAGTGAGAGAGGTGTGGGAAGGCTCTGGGGACGTTCCTGAGGGGAAGCAAGCGTGGGGCTGGTGATTCAAGGACTGGGGGCCGGAGCACTGCACTAACGCCCTGCTCGCTCCACAGGGCCTGGCGGTGGCCGTCCTCTACTGCTTCCTCAACGGGGAGGTGAGTGTCCTGGGTTGCCCGGATTTCTGGAGGAGCTCCCAGGCCACTGGATTCCAGTTCAGAAGGAGCTACCTGGAAAGGGTGATAGGGAGGGGGGTGTGGTGTGAGGGGACGCCTGGGCTTGTCCTCTGGGAGTCTGAGCTCACTTCATGGGAGCAACGGAATCACCCGGAGGCCGTGTTGAAACATTTGCTGGGCCCTACCCCCCAGTTTCTAATTCAGCCAAAATGGATTCTGTAGGTCTGGATTGGAGCCTGAGAATTTTTTTTAACAAGCACTCTGGGTGATTCTTATCCTTAGGCAAGTTCAGGAAATGGAGCAGCTCCTGGATGCTCTGGCTGCTTGCTCGATGTGTGATCTTGGTCACCGCCCTTCTCTGGGCCTCAGTCTTCCCATCTGTAAAATGGGAGATTCAGATGACCTGTCAATCAATCCTGAGACCTCCAAATGAGTGTTGACTCCCTGGGGGGCTGCACACTTACCTTGGGGTCTCTGCCCTGGCCGAGCATCTGGGTTAGGAGCAAGGCTCCTGGCACACGCAATCTGCGCAATCGACACTGCTGGGATACGGTACTGCACACAAGTCCAGCCTTGCTGTGACTGTTGACCATTTATCTGGTTCACCACACTTGAATGGGAATAACCTCTGATGTTTTCAAAAAATCAAGCATCAAGCCTAGGCTCAAAGGTTTTGCTTCTACAGCTGGGGATCAGGAAGGAAAATTCCAAAGAGCAACTCAATGGCCCCCAGTCAAGTTCTGAGCTAGGGTGGCTTCATGGGGATGTGTCCTGTTGTCCCTGACGACAATCTGGACGTCGGAGTTCTGGAGTTTGTGAGACAACCACAAGCCCCTTCTCTGGGACAGATATAGTGAGATCGCGGGTCAGAGTGCCCAGGGGAGAGGGGTCCCCCATACCTACAGGACATCGGGCTGGAATTCGTCTGTCTGGGTGCCTGCAGGAGAGGGAAGGCATGACTGCTGGGCTGGTGGCAGGGCCCATGTGGAGGTCCCCAGGGAGTGGGCCTTAGGGCACAGGGTCATTCTTCCCTCCCTGGCTGATGGCTTGTCTCTGGGGGCAGGTGCAGCTGGAGGTTCAGAAGAAGTGGCAGCAGTGGCACCTCCGTGAATTCACACTGCGCCCCATGGCCCTCAACTCCTCCTTCAGCAACGGCACCGGTGGCCTCACCCATGGCACCAAGACCAGCACCCCGGAGCCAAATCGAAGCACCTGGAGGGCGAGCGTCATCTGAGAGGCTGGAGCAGGGCCACCCATGGACCCAGAGGCCAAGATGGGTCCCGAGAGGGCTGGACACTGTGGCAGGACAGTCTGTCTTCCCAGCAGACATCATATGCTTACTCCTGTGACTAATAACACCCTTCCTCCAGGCCTGGGGTGGGGGTGGGGGGGTGGTAGTGATGATTCCTCAGAACTGAAGGAACTTGGGCCTCCCTGGGGCAGGAAGAGGGCCTGGGATCTGGGTCTACCGTGTTCTTCTGGGAAGAGCAGTTCAGGGGTCCCAAAAGGGGGCAGGGAAATAAATGGTAGCTGGGATGAGATTTGGTCTGAATTTGTCAGTCTTCTTGCCCTTGAGAAATGATGCGAGGGAGGATGCTCTGGCTTGCTCCCCTACCCCTCCTGGAGGAGGGGGCTTCCCTAATCACCGCCCCCCTCCAGTTTTCAGAGACAAGCTTAGAAGCCCAGGAAACATGAGAAATCGAGGCCCTTGGCCCTAGGATCTCCCCACCCCTCACGGCAACTCACCTGTCCAGCACCTCTCACACTAGAGTCTTCAAGACAACAGCTGAATTAATCTGATCAAGTCACAGTGAGGACCTGCAGCTCCCTGTTGGTAACCCTAATGGGGAAGGAGGCAGCCCTCTGTTCTCACAGCTCTTTCACAGGTAGTTATCCACAGCCCCAGGTGCAGGGACAGCAGGCCATGGGGCAGGATCCCATTTGACAGAAGAAACAGGTTCACCAAGGTCCTTCCTGTGACTTGCTCAAGCTACTCAGCAAGGAAGTGGCAGAAGTTCAGTCCAGGCCCTTTGGTTTCAAACCCCCATGCTCCAAGGCTGTGTCTGTTTTCCCCACTCCAGGCAGGGAAGGACAGGGGACACGGAAGGACAGGGGTCTGTCTCCCCGCCCCACTGGGGATTTTAGTCTAATCCTTTACGCTCTGGATCTCAGTCCCCTTGAATATCAGTGTTCCTCCCTGCCAGATGACGGGACTAAATATTTGAGCCCTTTCACAAAACGAAGCCTACTAGTGCTCAGGGGAAAGCACTCTGGACAGAAGTGGAGACAACTCCTCCCCCACGTAGAGGAAAGGGCATCCTGCCGGTGGGTGGGCCCAGCTCCAGTCTGGCTCTGGGTGACCCTGGACAAGTGCTGTCCCTCTCTGGGCCCTGGCTGCCCACCTCTGCACCAACCCCCTGCAGAGACAAGGCAGTCACCCCTTTGCACCCCTTGCTCCTGGAGGGAAAAGGCCGGGGACCCTCTTCCAGGGCTGAGAACCCAGCCTGTATGTTTGATGAGCTCTGCTCTCCGAAGAACAGATTGGTCCACCTCAACTTTTTTGAGTGATCTCCACAGACTGACTGCATGCATCTTAGAATAAAAGTTTCTTAAAACTCACAAGAGGTAGGTATAGGTGCCCAGCCGAGTCCAGGAGGGGGACCTGCAGTGACAAGGGCAGGGCAGAGACCAAAACCCCATGCAATCAGGAGCAGCCAGAATGAGCTGGGAAAGCCAGAATTCATCAGGGGCGGAGGGGGAAGGGGCCAGTGGAGGATGAAACAGCCTGAGGGCAAAACCCCCACTTTCTGGGCAGAAAAGGGACTGGAAAGGGGGCAATTTGATGCACAAAAATGCAGATCTGCCAGCAAGGTTGGAAATCTCCACTGGTTCCTGGTCCCCTTCACCTGCACTCGTCCCCAGGATGGTTGTTAATCATTACCCAAGGTCTGGCCGGTCCCCTTTACCCCCTGGAGTCCAGCAGGTTCAGATACGTGCTCTTTGAAACGTATCCCAGGATCAAAAATGGTACCTGAGGCCATCTGACTCTTACCAAAGATGGACACACACGCTCCCCTCAGGGAGGACAGTGTATCAGAAGTCCTCTTGGAAGGGCTTGCTCAAGAACTCTTCTCGAAGAGTTAAGGCAGGATTTCCACAGGCAGAGTCCCCAGAGGGGACAGCAGTTACTGGAAGCTGGGGTTATCCAGGGGTTATGGGGTCCCCCAAAGGGCAGAGGTCAAATCAAGTCGAATAGTTTGAAATCCTACTATGTGCAAGAAGAAACTCTGAGGGAATCCTGAACTCTGCCTCTCTGGCATGACCAAAGCTAGAGCAGGGAAATGTGCACAAAGGCCCTTGGAGCTGGTGCGAGGAAGACCCAGGCCCCGACTGGACACTCTTAGCTGGAAGAGTGACCCACTCTTAGCAATCCCGAAGGCCCCAGGGACCCTCCAGCCCACATCCCAGCGCAGCGTCAACGGAACAGGTGTGAATGGCACTTGGCTGTGCAGCCAGCCCAGGCACAGTCACCTGAGCTGCTTCCAAACCTATTTCCGTCCTGGGAAGAAGGATTCAAGAAGAGAGTTTAAAAATGTGTTTCTTCTTCTTCTAAAATCAACATCCTAATAACTTGGCTAAGCCTGTGCAGCTAGTGGCACTGAGGCACCTCTTGGCTTCTGGCCCTGCAGACCAGCTGCAAAGGCCTCTGGGCCATTTCTGGCCAACCATCCAAAGGTTATTGGCTAAGAGGCAGCAGTTTCAAGGTCACTGTCCCACCCCTACCCCACCAGAGGTCACATATTGGAAAAGTCCCATCTTGACCACACTTTCTTGTAGAACCCAGTGTCCTTGGAGGGGGGCCTAAAATTTCCTCGGCTGGCCCCAGGGATGAGTGATGCTGTTGATGTGAAGGCCACTGATGGCATTCAGGAAGAAGAGGAAGGAGGCAGTGAACTCGCACCAGAACATCAGGGTGAAGCCGATCAGTGTGACCTGGTTCCGAAGGAGGATCATGAAACTCAGGAGCCCCCCGGAGGAGAGGATGAAAGAGACGAGAAGGAGGAAGGAGCCCAAGGCCCACTTGCGCCGTGAGCGGAGGTCCTCACACACCTGGGACACCATGAGGAACTCTAGGCCAAAAATGGCGGTTACCACAGCCAACGTGCCCACACTGCGGGCCAGGACCATGCCCACGGCCAGCCCGGGCACGTGGGCCTGACTCAGGTCTCTGAGGCAACGTGGCCTAGTCTGGTTGGAGGTTGTGCAGAAGTGCCACAGCCCGAAGAGCCGGTCCTCAGCCAGGAGCCAGTGGCCATCACAGATGGACACGGAGGAGAGGACCACGGCCAGGGCGGCACACACGATGATGAGGGTCCGGATGCAGGATTCAAGGAAGGACCGGCGGGGCCTCCTTTGGGCCAGCAGCCTCTGGGCCTGGAAGACACCACAGAGGCCGCGTGTCACAGGGAAACCCACCACACCCCTCCAATTTCATCAGGGAAGGCCCTGACCATGCCTTCCAGCATCCCACAGCCACGTGTTCTGGGCTGGTCTCCCGGGAAGCCTTGCATGCCGGCCCTTCCTCATGGCTTCTCCCCCAGCTCCTCCTTACCTTTCAGCACCAGCACCGACCCAGCTTCTTTGGGGAACTCTTCCCCCATTCCACCCGTTCCCATCCTCCTCTCAAGACCGATAAGACCGATAAGCATTGACCGTCCAGTTTCCTGACCTTTCCTTCTTTAATGATCTTTATCATGAGTAAAAACTCCAAACTCTATTGACTGGCAAATCCTAGTCTCTTCTGAATTCAGAAAACCTGTCTGGCCTGGCTGGTGTGACCCTGAGCCTGCAGCCCACCTCCAGAGTTTGTTGTAAGCAAAACAAGAACAAGCCTGGAAGGCAACAAGGGTGGTGAAAGGCACCGACATGAGCATATCAATACAAGGTGAGTTGCCCTCTCTCTCCCTTCCCCCGAACCGGCCAGCTTTAACCCAGTCCCCACCCACCGGGTTCTCCACTTTCACATTTGGTACAGCACTCCGTGTTATTGCCTACTGGAAGTGTGTTTGCACCTTGCCCTCCAGGCTTGCTCAGCCTCTGCCTCACCCAGAGCTTGCCAACCAAACTATTCTAGCAGCCTCTAGTCTCAAGGAAGACACTGAGGTCTCCCGCCACAGCTGGTCTCAGCAGTGGAAGAGGGCGCCGCCCCCTTCTCTTCCAGCAAGCTGGGCCAGGTGTCCAGGGAGGTGTCCCTTATCTCACAGCCTGGGGACACCACCCAGGTGCCCTTCCCAACTGCTGATGATGCAGAAAGCAAAAGAAATACTTCAAAGAGTAAAACTCCTCACCGTGGCCCACATGCCCTGCCCTGCCCTTCCTCTCCAACCCAACCCCCACCCCCACCCCCACCCCGGGGGCACTCTCCCTGGCCACCTCACCCAGGCACAGCAGCCCTCTTTCCATGCCTGGGACAAGCCAAGAGCTTTCTTCTCTCACATCTAGTGGCCCTGCCACCCAAAGGGCTCTTCTCCAGCCCCCTTCGCCTTCCAGGCTGCCTCCTTTTCTCCATTCTTCATGTCTCAGCTGAAATGTCACCTCCTCAGAGAGGTCTTTCCTCCCCACCCAACCCAAACAGGGTCCCCTCCTGTCATTCTCTGTCAGGCGCCCAGTCCGTTTGTCTCTCTCACCTGAGGCTCTGTTCTCCTGGAGGGCAGGGCCTCCTGTTTGGAGGCTGCTGTGTCCCCAGGACCCGGGAGTGTTGACGGGGGCATTCAGTGGGTGCTCAAGGGCCGAGGGATAAATAAATGGTCAAGTTTGCAGCCCCTGTCACTTCTATCTGAAGCTCCCTGTAAACCGAGTCTCCTGCTCAATCATAACCCTTAAATTACCCATGGGGCCCCGTGGCCAAGTGATTAAGTTCAGAAGCTCTGCTTCAGAGGTCCAGGGTTTTGCAAGTTCGGATCCTGGGCACGGACCTAGCACTGCTCATCAAGCCACGCTGAGGCGGCATCCCACATAGCAGAGCCAGAAGGACCTACAACTAGAATACACAACTATACGCTGGGGGGCTTCAGGCAGAAGAAAAAAATAAAAATAAATCACCCCCTTTACCAGTGCATATGGGAGCAGCCCAGGTCACATCCCAGTTTGGGAGGTAAGCAAAACAGACAGCTCATGCGTGATGGTCACTGCTGGGAAACCGAACAGGGACTATGGGGTGCACCTTGTACCCTATGCAAATGGAAGCTTCCAGGAGCAAGTCTGGCCACATCTCTCAGTGAGGGACGCAAAGTCCCGCTCCCGGGACACTCCTGCGGTCAGAGGCCCAGCAGAAACATCAGGCTGTCGGCTAACCTGCCCACCTGAGCAGGAGCCACTGCTAATTTCAGCCCCGGGAACACAAATAAGGACCCAGTTAGCTTTCAGCACTTCTGCTAAGCAGGGTTCTATTTTACTCCTAAGCCTGAGAGGTTGGCAGAGCAGGAAGCTTGGTGCAGGGGATGTAAAGAGGGGATCTATGTTATGCAGAAGTCAGGTGACTTGCCCAAGATGACTCAGCTAAACAAAGCCTGTTACAGCTGCCTAAGCAATGGGATAGCGTGCAGGGGTGGGATGCATTCAGCCAATAAATACTGACCGGGGCCTTCCAAGGGCTTGAGGGCTCAATATTACTGGTGAGGAAAAGGATTAGAGAGTAGAGGGATGCCCAAGGGGTCAGGGTCCCCAACGCAGAGCCCGAGAGGAAGGCAGCCTGGGGCGCTGCAGAGAGCCCCCGAGGAGTCTGGGCTGCGGTTCTCCAACTGTGACCCGGTGCTTCCTAGAGTGGCTCCAGGTGCCGAAGCTGGGGGGTAAGGAAACCAGCTCCAGGGCCCTTCCTCACTGCAACCACGACAGGTCCCTGTTCCCTGGGGGAGACACTGGGAATCCATGAGACTGTACTGGATTGTTAGGGGAAAAAAGGCTTGACAGCTAAGAACAAACCAAGGGAACTTTGAAAGCTGTGTCTACAAACCAGTCAAGGTGTCTGCCTTTGCGTGGTTCCTGAACCTCTTTGGCCCTTGCTCTTTGATCTACAAAATGGAGGTGGTGGCCCCTGCAGGAAAGCAGTAGCCATGGAGGCACCTGGCGAGGTCACAAAGCCCTTAGAGGTGGACGAGGTCCTAGGATGGGAAAGCCCCAGGTGCAGAGAGCAAGTCACAAGAGCACAATCCCCAGAACCCTTTTGACCCTAGACATCATGCTGTCTGGAGAACAGGCACGTCCTGTCCCTCCCTCGGCCCCACCCGTGCTGCTGGGCACAACTGGACTTTAATCTCCAGGCCCGGAGACATCACACTAGGAGCAGAAAGTGAAGACAGCCGATGTGGGTTCTTTGTTCCCTCTCCCACCGCAAACCAGGGCTTCATTTAAACTCTCTGACACAAAGGAAACTCCCAAGGATTAAATGAGATCCGTATATAAACGTGCTTGGCACATGAGCAGATCCCAATTCCTGGGAGCTATTAATAATATTAGTAACAATAATAATGCATATTTGAGTCTTCTTTCCTAACCAGCCTGCATCAACATCAGCTAGCTTTCAGTGATCTGGGGCCTGAAATCTCCTTGGAGGGCTGCCAGGCAGCTCCATGGTTAGTGGAGGGTCGATGGACAAGAGGAGAGGGGCAGTCTAGTCTGCCTCTGATTTTCCGGTCCCCAGCTGTGTAACCTTGGGCAAGTCAATTTCATCTCTGAGTCTTGACTTTCCTTGCTAAAAAAACGCAAGTGTTCCCCCTTTTTTCATCTATAACCCTGAATGTGACAGCCTGTAACCTTGAATGTGACCTGGGCACATGGGTCATGCAAACACAGGAGCCAGCCAGCCAGCCTGCTTTTAGCTGTGCTTGACCTCTGGCAAGTTATTTATCCTCTCCCTCTCTTTCCATTTCCTCAACTACAAACAGAGAGAACAGTGCCTACCTCCTGTGGGGCTGAAATGAGTTATCACTCCAAGTGCTTAACAGAGGCCTTGGCACGTGGTTAAGTGCTCCCAAAGGGGAGGGTGTATCGTTAAGCAGGCACAGCGCCCACCTCACAGGGCTTCACCGAATCTCCCCCACGCCGCCTCCCACCGCCGCCTCCCTCCTCCGCTAGACTCGGCCCCCACACCTTGCTGAAGTCCCCTTGCCCCTCCCCTCGGAGCGCAGCATGCAGGGGCCCCCCTCCCAGTTAATCCCTCCCGCAGATTTTGCACCTCTTAGTTTAGCCCCCCGCTTCTCATACCTCCTCTAAATCCTTGTTTACAAGTCTCTCTCCCCAACTGGACGGTCAGCTCCTGGAGGGGTGAGACCACGCCTGGTCCCACCCACCTCACTGCCTGTCCCTTCTTCCCAGGGCCTGTCCCAGGAGGCTGCCTGGTCGTGACTCAAGATTATGCCCCAGAACAAAGAGGAGGAACTAGCTGCATCCCGTTCCTCCCTCCCCCGCCCCAAAGCAGCTGTGTCCCGGCTAAAAGGGGTTTGGGGGTGGCCTGTGGGTTCGGGTTTCTCTCGTGGGTTTGGGTTTCTCCCGTTAGGGAAAGGCAGAAAGGGCGAGTGGGATTTGGAGCCAACAAGACCTGATTTTGAATCTCGATTCTGTCGCTAAGCGGGCCGATTCTGTCGCCACGCTATGTCGCTATGCTGGACAGGTGACCTCACCTCCAAGCCTCAGTTACCTCATCTATAAAATGGGCGGAGCAGTATCGATGGGACTCAGTGTAGTGGGGATGTGAGCCCTCGCGTGCGAAGTCAACGCGCCTCTGACCCTTCGGCCAGCGCAGTCGGAGACTGGAGGAGGCGAGCCCTGCGATGCTTCCGCGTAAGGGAAGCTCGCCCGCAGGGTAGCGGTCCCGCCTCCGCCCGACTTCCCTTGCAGGGCAGCACGACCGCGTGGAGCGGGTAGGGACCGGTAGGTCCTCGGCCAACACAAACATCTTCCACCACTCTAGGGAGAAAACCCATCTTCGGGGATGCGGGCCCCTGCCCTCACGAGAGTCTTTTCTCTGAGGTGTCCGCGCGCCCCAGTGAGTCCATCCCCCGCCCGAGCCCCCAAACACAGTTTTGGGGAGAAGAGATGGTCTTTCTAGCCCCCGCCCAAGAAAGTTCTGGCTTCCCCAGAGATGCGTCTTCATGTTACATAAGGCAAGCCTCACTCTCCAAGTGGACTCAGTCCATCCTCCACCCTAGATGCGCCTCGTTTTTAAAAAGGAGGGCCCCTTCTGGGGGAACCTAGCCGATGGACACTGGTGACCCCAAAGAGAAGAAGCAACATCGTCCCCAAGAAGTTTAGGAGCCTTGGGCGGTTGCAGGGCCGCGAGCAGAGGCCGAAAGGAGACGGCGCCGCTGGAGCAGCGTTGGGGAGCGGGCGCCCCCCTGTTGCTTCCCGCCCACCCTCCTCTGAACCCGGAGGCTTGCCACAGGGGGCGGGCACGGCGGGGAACGCCTAACCCCGGGCCGCGGCGGGCACAGGTTTTCGGTGCACCGCCCCTGCTGCCCCCCGGGGGGCAGACCCCGGCCCGCTCCGCGCCCCCCGGCGCTTGGGGTACCTGCACTGCGATGGCAGTCATGCTGCGCTGGGGCCCGGCCGCGCGCTCCCGCCTCGCCGCCTCCGCCGCTCGGCTGCAGCCGCCCGTCCGGGACCCGGACCTGTCCCCGGGGGCGGAGCGGGGCGGCGGGGGGCGGGCACGGGGGCGGGGGGCGTTCACGGCGGAGCAATTAACGCCGGCCGGGCGCGTCCGGCCCCGCCGCCCTCGGCGGCTCGGTTTACGCTGAGTCAACCGGGGCGGCCTGGAGGAGCCCCCGGGGAGGGGAGAGGAGGAGCCGGTCCGGAGGGGGCGCGATCCCCAAGGTCCGAGAGAGGAGGATCTGGCACGAGGGGAGCGCTGAGCGGTCTGGCTTCGGGGCCCGGGGTCACGCCCTCGCTCCCAAACTTCAGAGGACTTCGCCTGGGGCGCAGATTCCCCGAGGGCCGGGACGGCGCGGGACGGGCCCGCGGGGGAGGTTCCAGCCCCAGCTTGCCTAGTCCTCCCAGCGTCTGCAGGCGGCGTAGGGTCCAGAGGGAGGAGGCACGCGCCCGGGCTCGGCGGCCTCACCACCCTCTGTGTGACCTTGGGCTGCTTGTTTAATGTCTCTGAGCCACCGTTACTAAATGAGATAATATTTGTGAAAGGTCGGGGTCTTGCGAGGCCCGCGGTAAATGTGAACGGAGTGGAATCTTCGGGGGCAATCCTGCTTGTGTCTCCACCCCAGGGGGATGTGCAAACCTGCTTCCCTCCTGGGCTCCTCAGGGACCCTCAAATAGGCAAATAGGACAAAACAAAAGTCACTGTTCTTCCTCGACTTTGATGAGGCCTGAGTTCTTGGAGGAGGCAGGCAGAGTCCCCACCACAAAAAGGGGTGGGAGTGGGAGCGGGGGTTCCCAGGGCAGCAAATTCCAACTAGGACCCCGTCCCTCCCCAGTTACAGGGAAGTGTGTGCTGGGTAGGGAGGGGGCGTTCCTGCTTGAGGTAAAGGGAGACCTTTCTCCGGAACTACACTAAGTTTTTGGCTCCTTCAGGCAGGTGGGCAGCTCCCCTTGACTTCACCCAAGGACGTTTAAAACGACCGCGCTTACCTCTTTCCCCCGAGAGCCATGTGAGGAAAGGGGACAGTCACAGCTGTCCCAGCATCTATTAGATGTTCATCTGATTCCATCACTGCCAGAGAGACCTTGTGAAGTGCTTTATCCCAGTCCTGGGCTCAGCTAGGGAGGGCCTTACCCCCAGCCTCCCACATCTGGAGTCCAACGGAGAGCCAGGACTGGACTTCCCAGTCTGGGTCTGATTTCTTGCCACCATTCTGCCTCGGAATCACCTGGAGAGCTTGTTAAAACACAGATTGCTGGGCCCACTTTAGCATTTCTGGCTGAGTAGGTCAAGGGTGAGACCCCACCACGTGCATTTCCAACCAGGTGTTGCTGCTGCTGGTCTGGGGCCCTGCTTTGAGAACCGCTGAGCCAAGACAAAGGGCAGCTGGCCAGGCCCGGGCAGGTCAGCCCCTCTCTGCCGGGGCCTTCCCTCCATGGCCTGCACCTGCGTTCTCCACACTCGAGGGTCCCAGAAGCCAGGTTCTCCTCCCTCCACAGCCCTGGGCTCTGGAGGAGGGGCTCACACAGGGCAGGAAGACCTGGCTGTGTTGGGGGTCCCTGTACAGAGCCCTAGAATGCTCTGTGGGAGGGACCTGGGTTCCTGGGGCCTGCAGCATTTCGGTAAGCAGGAGAGGAGTGCCTGGAATTCAAATCGGAACCGTGATGCTGGGAAATCCTTGCCCACTGTGTGCCTCCTGATGCCTTTGGAGATTCATGTGTGGTCAGGCGTGTTTGGGAAGACGATGCCTGTTATGCTTTCTCAGTAAGAATTGAAAGACTTGAATCAGTGGAATTTAGAGCAACATGTCTTGTCAGCAAGATAGCCAGAGAAGCAGAAATGACTTAGGAGTAATCAGGAGGAAGCATGCTTTGTCCGGTTCCGATCATTTTATGGTCATAAGAGGCCCGGGACGTAACAGGGAGTCTGGGTGGAGTTTGTGCTGAGGACCAGGCATCAAGTCTCTGAGCTGGTCACCGCGGCTGGCCCTCTGCATCCTAGGATCCCAAGTCTCCCAGGTACCTCCTCACTGCCCAGGGCTTGGGGCAGAGTGGGGTGTGGCAGCGCCATAGCACTCCCTAGGGTACCCCCAACCCCTGGTGAGATACGGAGCGAGGCAAATGACTCGCCAGATGACTGGAGCGGCAGGGTCCCAGCGCCGTGGGGGCCATGGCTGGGACAGAGGCGGGGGTGGGACCCCCAGGAGTTCAAACCAGACACAGCATGGGGATGAGTGGCGACCTCTGGGACAGGACAAAACCCACCCTACTCCTTGACTTTCTCTGCCTTTTCTCCAGACAGTGTGACAGAGTCAACCCCCGCCCCTCCCCCATCCCTACTTCTAGGCCTGGCCGAGTGGGGAAAGAGCAATGGCCCCCACTCCACCCCTCCAACCACTTTTATCTGACCAGGCATTGTGCTTAGAGAGTTCCAGGGCGGGGACACAGGTACTGATTGCTAAATCAATAAGTACCAGATCAACTAGTCAATCAGCAAGCGCTCTCCCACCTCTGGGCCTTTGTGCTTGCTGCTTCCTCTGTCTGAAATGTACTTAGTCACGTCTAAGACTCACCATCTCACTCCTCTGAGGTCTGGGCTCAGATGTCACCTTATCTGAGACGTCTACTATGACCACCACACCTAAAACAACACAGCCCATTCTCTTTTCCCTTCCTCCCTTGTCACCACACACACCCTTGTCCCCTCTCCCTCTGTAGTGTAAGTTCCAAGAGGACAAGGACTTTGCTGTGTTCGCTGGTATGTCCCGGGGGAGCCAGGCACATGATAAATAGTCCCTGACTACATGAAGGAGCTGACTGAATATCTCCTGGGTACCCACCACGGTCCTGGCCAATGAGGACAAAGAAGAAAAAGACAAAGTCTCTGTCAGTAGGAAAGGACTTGGGTTTTAGGGTCAAAATCTGCATCTGCTTCACTTCCGCTTGCTCACTGGCCTCCCCAGTCAGGCCCACGTCCTCTGTCTCTGTTCCCCCGCATGGTCCCCTCCGTCTCCTCTCCCCCACTCCTGGCCCCATCATCTCTAAAGCAGATGCCTGTGGAACAGCGTCCTGCCTGGCACCCCTGCCTCCGCTTTTGTCACCTCTGCCCTCGTGCAGCTTCCCATCCCCTTTCCCACAGCTCGTGAGGCTGGAGTTATCTGGCCTCTGCCCATCCCTCCGTCCTCGGCTCCAGCTCCACTTCCCCACTGGGGCCTGGGCAGGAAGCTCCGTGCCATCTCAGAGCTTCTTCGCTCCCTATTCTCTCTGTGTGGCAGGCCTTCCCCTGGGTGTCTGCTGGGCAGGCTAGCACCTCTGCAGGGCCCTCCCTTAACTCCCCCAGACACAGGAGCACCCACCAACACACACCTACCCCTATTACCTTTGTATTTTCCTTTTGGTAAGGAAGATTTGCTCTGAGCTAACATCCATTACCAATCTTCCTCTTTTTTTTTTTTTGCTTGAGGAAGATTAGCCCTGAACTAACATCTGTGCCAATCTGCCTCTATTTTATATGTGGGTTGTTGTCACAGCATGGCTTGACAAGTGGTATAGGTCCACATCTGGGAAACGGACCCACAAACCCAGGCCAAACCTGGGCTGCTGAAGCAGAGCGTGCCAGACCCAACCACTACAGCACGGGGCCGGCCCCATATATTTTCTTGATCATGAGCTGAACTTCCCTACCTGTCAGTTTCCAGGGTTTTCTGTTTCCCTCTCTAAAATACCATACACTCCCTGAGAGCTGGGACGGTGTCTCTTTTGTTGCTCATGCCCAGTCCCAAGAGTAGGTTCCAGGCCAGTCCCGTTGCCTTCCCCACCAGGCCCCCTCCTGCCCTCTGCCTCCTCTGCCAAGAGTAGGGACTGGTCAATACAGTTTGTAAACTCGTGCCCAGGCTTCAGCTACATTCTGGACCAATTTCTTCCCCTCTGTGAGCCTCAGTTTTCTGTCACATGGGGAAACACATCCCTCTTGGTGTCACATGAGGCCGCGTGCGTGAGGTGCCAGCTCCATCTCTGCCTTTAGGAAGCTTTGATCTGAAGAGAGAGAGCCCTGCCCCGGAGATTTCTCCTTTGAGGAGTTGGGGGTAGGGGGCAAGGACTCCTGGTCTAAAGGGCAAGAACAGGGAGAGGGAAGACCGGGGAGTCTGCCAGGAGCTGCCACTTGAGGCTCTCTGGGCAGTTTCAAAGCTGATGACTAACCCTGCCTGCCCTGTGCCTGCACTTCTGACCTGCCAACTCTTGCCTGCCTTGTGGTCTTGGAGAGAGCGTGGCTCCAGCCCTGTTGCCTCTACCTCCCCCTACTTCTCTCCTCTGCCCTGCCTTCACCACCAGGTCTTCCTCTTCTCCCAGCCCTCTCCCCTGGTGTCCTGGTTCCAGGCAAGTCCCATTGCCCTCCCCACCAGGCCCCCTCCTGCCCTCTGCCTTCTCTGCCTTGAGCTCCAGCACTGCATTCCAACCTCCTCGCAGGCACTGGATTGCAACACAGACCTTGTTTACTGCATTCTAGTGTGGCTGGGGGCCAAGGGGCTCCCCGGCCCTGTCCTGTGGCTTGCCTCCTTGGTGCCTTCCCTCTGGGCGGGCCTCAGGTGTGATGTTTACCCTGCCTCTGAAGAAAGGGCAGGCGCCAGCTTCAGCGAGCCCGAAGGCGCCAGTTTCTCACGGGGGGGGGGGGGGGGGGGGAGAAGTGGAGGGGAACTGGCTGGGTTGAAGCGATGAATGAATGAAGGAAGAACTTCCTGAGTGGCTCTCTATATCAAAACGACCTGCCCCCTTGTGGTCTTTGAAGGTGATGGGGAGGGATGTAGATGGGACTTCTGAGGGTGGCCTTTCTGTAGGGTCTCCACTTTCTCAAGTCA